TTTTTTTTTTTTTTTTTTTCTTTTCTCCTTTTTTCTTCTTTTCCTTTGCCCAGCGCTTTTTTTTGTATCCTTTCGCTAGTCTCGGGAGTTGTCGTACGCCAGCAGGGTCAGCATCAGGAAACGAAAAATTGACAAGCCCGGGATACTATTTTAGTAAGTGGAAACGTGCGGCGTCTCCCATCCTCTTTTCACGGAATGTGCGCACTGTTGGGCCAAGGACGTACGTACAGCCTTCCAGTGTGACACACCCCCAGTCGAATCACGTGACGTTTTCTGGTGACGACTACGGAGGCTGCTGCACTTGCGATCCACGACGTCAAGGAGTCGTGGACGACGAGGTGGACCCAGCCATGGTGGACCTGTTGATCGACAATCTCGAAGATGCGGTATAGCTCTCTGCTCCTCCACTCTGTTGCACACAATCGCTCCCGCCGCGCTCTTTGACAGACAGGCACTCGTGGGATCTCCCCACGACCGCTTGTCCCTTTTCTCGTCTCGCCTTTCTCGTCTCTGCGTTGAGCGAAACCCTCGCCACTAGCTCCATGACGCTAGTTATGCGCGCCTTCTTTTTCTTCCCCTGCGATTTGGCTCGCTTCCTGATCTCGAAGCTCGTAGCGCTGCTTACTATGGCTCTCGAGAAGGAAGATATGGAAGGTAGAGCCGCGATAGCTATAGAGGTCTCGGTCTTTGTGCTATTGGCCTTCTATTGCTTTGCTTGCTTTTCTCGCCCTCCCGGCCTTTCTGCACCATCTACAAACGCTGCCGCCGCCTTCTCCCCCGCTCCCGCTACCCAAACGGCTGTGACTTAGCAGAAGATTTCCCTCTGATGAAGTTGTTTACTGGTGGCTAACGGCAGAAAAACCCTTTAGGGGTTTGCCACCACCCTCCCTGCTATGGCTGTCGAGGCTCGTTCCCATATCACGAGGAACCGCCTTTGGTGATGCAGCCAAACATTCCCTGCCCCGCTTTTTCTCGCGCGCTGTCCTATTGGTAAAACTTGGGTATTGCTTCGGATCGACGACCAATTAAAGAGGTTCTTTCTCGGATATATGGGTTGTGTTATACTCGCATGTTTTTTTAGTACAGAATGCATGTCTCTCTCCCCCTGCTTGATTGCTCTCTGGTATTCTTCTGAAGTGTATAATGTACATTTCTTCCCCTAGCCGATTGCTTTCCGAAATCTTCCCTTTTTTTCATCGTTACCTCCATCCTGAACGATCTGTATACGGAAATCTGTTAGATGCATGATAGCCTGTTCACAATGCTTCCAACTACCGTTACTCGAATAAGGATGCTCATGGAATTTTCCCATTCACTTCCGTTCCTTTTTTCTTTTTTCTTTTTGTTTTTTTCCTTTTTTCTTTTCTTTCTTGTTTCTTAGAAGCCGTCTACGAGCAGATGCAGCATCTGGGCAACGTGATCACGCTGCCTCATGCTGCCCATGTTCGTTCTCGAGCTGCAATCTATACCTGCCTTCCCGACCACCATCACTTGCAAACCTCCCCTGGAAAAGCAATCTAGACCGAAGATCACGATGGAATGTAGCTAAATGCATTAATCCCGTCCGCGGGCGAGATACGCATAGCTACTATCCCTCGTTACGCTTCAGGTTACACGGATGCGTGCTCAGATGCATGTGTATATGTATATATACACATATATGAATACACATGTATGCACCCTGTACCCTGCCCTCGGTAATTCGATGCTCTAATCACCGATTATGGTTTCTGTCATTCTCCCCTTCGTAGGTAGGATCACAAATATGATCCAACCCAAGCACGGCTTAAGCCTGCGATTGACATATTGGGAATAGCTGTTGTCTGATTTTTCGTCCTTCAGAATCCTATCCACTACGTAAATCTTTCTCGACTTTTTTCCTTCCCCACCCCCCTTTTTTTCTCTCCAGTCGATTACTTTATGAAATCTTTCCTCCTTGTCCCTTTTGTTCGCTTCCCATCGCTTCCCCCCGTACAAGCTGCATGCGGAAGACTGTCCCGATAACCCTACACGGACCCTGATAGGTTCATGATAACCTGCTCGTATTGCCTCCAAACTACCGATACCCGAATAAGGATGCTCATGGGATTTTCCCATTCACTTCCGTTCTTCCATTTTTTCTTAGGAGCCGTCCACGGGCAGACGCAGCATTAGGGCAACGCGATCTCACTGCCTCATGCTACCCATGGTCGCTCTCGAGCTTCAGCCCATATTTGC